CTTTCTGCACAACCAATTACAGTTGGTGTCCCACAGGGAAGTGTTCCTTGGCCACTCTTCTCTTTATCCTATACATAAATGGAACTAACATAATGCTTCGCAATTAACTCCAACCCACACTATTTGCGAGATGAACTACTTACGTCTTCTCCCACCCGAGCCCAGTCACGCTAGCCAATACTGTAAATACCGAATTACGAAATATCTACCAGGATGAGGACTAACAAAACTTACACTAAACATTTGACAAAAATACCTTCATTCGTTTGGTACAGAGCTACAGATGTCCTCTTAACAAATGATAAACGGGATCACCTATCACAAGCTAACAGAGGGAAAATTCTTGGATCCACCTTGATAATTAGACTCAAAATTTCATACACATATACAACAAATTTCTAGATAATTTTCCAAGAACTGTAGGCATACTAATCGAGGTTACTGTACTATGCTCCACAGTCAGCCTCCTGGCCCTATATCACTTCTTATTTACCCCTATCTCACCTTATGGATTTGTGGCATGGGGCTAACAACAAGTAAACCATCTCAGGACCTAGATTTACCCAACAAAAGGCTTGCAGTTAGTATGATAACAAATCTCACTACAGGGCGCACACTCCAACATTATTCAATTACATCAACTACTCAACATACAAAAACATTCATACTTATTACTGACCTATTACATACTAGAACACTTAACTCTGATTTTAAACCCTCCCCTTCAAACATTCTCTTGCCAACCTAACAGAACACATGACCTTACTACAAGGCACAGATCACTCTTTGATGTTCCTATTGTCCATCTCACGCTATGCAAAAACGCAATGCACATAATAGGCCCCTAAAATCTGGAATTTCATAGCTGTAAATTATAAAGAATCATACCTGTTTATAAATTCAGTCTCTCTCAAGATCACTTATCAACCAAAACCAAATATATACTGAATAATGAACCTTATTAAATTGTATATCTTAGATGTTTCCTCACAATTATATCACATAAATGTTAAACCTAAAACCAATTAACTTTATTATTTTTTAAATACACTCCTAACAGATACTCCATTATACTGATTGTACAGCAATGCATAGCAACCATATGGACCTGTCTTTGGTATACTCACTTGTGCTTAATAGTAATCTGGTTACATTATTGTTTTTCACTGTTTTCATCATTGCTAGTTATTCTTAGTAGTTAATTTTAGCCAGCCCGAAATGTATGCATAGTATAAGTGGCTTTTGGCATGCTGCTCTTATCTGGATTTTTTTTGTACCTCTGTATGTGTGCTCAAATTGTAATAATTAAATAAATAAAATAAAATTACTGCATGCTGACCAGTCAGGAGGTGGGAGGCACTGCCATCTATTATCTGAGTTAGTAATGTGTGAAATCAACTAATGTACGGGACGAAAATGTGATATATAATAGCTAAATTCACTTCAAGAGCACTTAGAACATCCTATTAAACAGTTGGGCGCAGTCTACAGACTACCTACTCAAAGATACTTACACTTCAACAGTAATCTTAGAAACAAGATATTGAGTCAAGTAGATAAACACATCTGTACTAGCAGTGACTTCATCGTAAACTTTACCAAGTAACTGACCTCCAGTAGCTGATTTCACAAATGCTATGAACAACAGCTTGTTGTAACCTCTATAACGAAAGCCAACAGATTCTCTGAGTGAACAAGTGCTCCGTTACTTGACCATATCTGGACCAACAAGATTCCCCACTACAAGCAGGTTAAATCACAGACAACACCACAGACCCACTTCAAGAATTATCACAGACAACACAGACACCCACCCTATCTTTCTCATAACAACTTATCTAAATGTTCATGAAACAAGAAGGATTCATTTCGCCGCATGAGAGTCATCGATAAACAACCTAAAATAACACTAGGTTGCCACTGATTGGCAGGTAGAGAGCTAGCATGACAGTAATAATTCAATAAAGATATCAAACATTTTTTTTTAATAAAACCCCTTCACCTCTACAACAAACATTGCCCAATCAAACGAAACAGATCCAGAATAGAGGCCTAAACAGCCATGGCTACTAGAAGTATCCTCAAATCTATTAATAATAACACCATATTGAAAAAAAACAGTTCAGATTAGGCTTATTCTTAAGAATTTACTAAATGATACCACATCAATACTCACAAAACTAATACGTAAATCAAAACAAATGTATTATGAAAATAGATTAGTGTGAAATGAAAGGTGCATGAAAAGTACTGGCAAAACACTCTCCAAAATTTTGGGCTCAAGGAAACGACTGGATATGAGAGATCAGACTTAAACTAACCTAGATGAACTTCACATACAACCTATAGACACGCCGGGACAATTTAATGTCTTTTTCTACTGTAGGAATTTCAAAGTAAGCGAGTCAAATTCTAGTCAAATACCCAGGTGTGAGCGAGTACTCCACTGGCAACTATCCCCACAACTCTCCTTATTATTGTCCAATAATCCCACTGAAGTCTCACTCGTCATTAAATCATTAAAGAAACAAAGTCCAGGTGATCTTTTAACTTGCACCATTCATATATAAAAAGCTGCACAAAACTGTCGGCATTATTGCATATAATGTTCAACAAATCTATAGCATCCTCAACCTTCCCATCCATTACTCAAGACAGCAAGGGTCACCCGATCATAAGGTGGAGATCCAACTGATTTGAACAACTACAGACCGCATATCAAAAAACTGTCCTTATTCTCCAAGACATTTGAAAAAATAATACACAAGTGACTATACTTCCTACCTTACATCCAACAACATACTTCCTCACGCCATTTGGGTTTAGAACAAAAATGAGTACGAAATTCGACGCTATTATATAAATGCTTGACCGATAACATAGCTTCGAAAAAAATGAATATCTCTGGGTCTTTTTCGACCTACGTAAAAGCGTTTTTGACACAGTTGACTACAATTTGAACAATGCAAGGAATTCGCGTGCTCTCTGCGAATTCCTTGATTTTCAATCTCTCGTAAGGCTGATTGCATGCAGGGGATGAGATGAAAAAGCTGTAAGCCTTCTCCCTGAATGCTGGCTGCTTGGATCAAATCGATGTAGCGCATGCTACCACGCCCAAGTATTGTCCAGTGTGGGTAGATTGGTAAGCATGCGTACCTTGTCCTAAGGTTCGTAGGTTTCGAGTATCCTTCAGCAATAGATTGTGTTTTATTAATATATATTATATATATATATATATATATATATATATATATTACTGATATATATATATATATATATCCTAGGTAGTAGGGTTGGTAGACAGCAACACCCAGGGAGGTACTACCATCCTGCCAAGTGAGTGTAAAACGAAAGCTGTAATTGATTTACATGATGTTAGGTATTGCTGGTGTCCTTTTTTTCTGTCTCTTTAAAACATGCAAGATTTCAGGTAGTCTTGCTACTTTACTTACACTTAGGTCACACTACAATACATGTACAAGCAAATATATATATATTTTACACAACACACATTTATATATATACAACCACCTCTCTGGGTTTTTGTATTTTTTTCTTGTTCTTGTTCTTGTTCATTCCTCTTACCTCCATGGGAAAGTGGAACAGAATTCTTCCTCCGTAAGCATGCGTGTTTTTGTAAGAGGCGACTAAATGCCCGGGCAAGGGGCTATTAACCCCTTTCCTGTATAAAGTACTAAATTTAAATAGAAAACTTTCCAATTTTTCTTTTTGGGCCCATCCTGCCTTGGTGGATACGGTGGTTTGATGAAAGAAGAAAAGAATATATATATATATATATATAGATCTATATATATATATTTATATATATATATATAAATTATATATATTATATATTTTAATTATTTATTTATTTTTTTTTATATATTTATATTATATATATATATATATATAGTATATATATTTATATATATATTATATTATATATATATATATATTATTTATTTTATATTTATTATATTTATATATTTTTATATATTTATATATATTTTTATATTTATATATTCATATATATATATATAGTTAATAATATAATTTTTTATATAGATATATATTTATTTAAGATACTATATATATTTAATATATATATATTATAACATATATATATATATATAAATAAATATTGGCAGTGTAGCCTTGCGACTGACCTGTAGTCCAGTGCTTGATGGAGTCCTTACGGTACTGGACGCTGAAGTGGGTGATGGGACAGCCTCCGTCACCCCACTGGGCCAGGTACAGTGTGGCCTGGGAACTGTTGGTCGTCACGAACTGAAACTGTGGAGGAGCCTCGGGAGGTCGTCCCTTGGTGCGGGCTGCCTCTGTTGTTGATGCTGCACTAGTGCCTGTGGATGGGTCAGTATTCTTTGTACTTCATTTTTTCATACCACCGAGAGGTGTGTATCTCACAACACCATGACTGGAACAATACATATACTGGGAGTTTGCTTTACCCTCCTTGGGGTAATCGGTTGGGTTTAAACCTAATTAACCAACCATTGCCTCGTATGAGTGCCAGTAAGTATTGGTATAACGTAACAGAGACCGGAAATAGCAAGGTTAGATCTATCAAGACAAACTAATCGTTCAAGAACTTCTAAAGGACGTGAGCAAAATGTTGTCTTGATATTGGCTCACTCAACTTTACGTGTCGTTGTTTAAGCTGCCTGACACCTGTAAGCTGCTGGAGCGCACTTTCACACGACAGGTTCACATTATCATACATACTACAAAGGAAGATACACTAACTAGATCTGTCACTACTTTAATAAAAGTTGTTTGATTAACTTTTTTAAATAAACTTAGTCGCTGTATGACTCAAAGGGGCTTGGACTTGTCGTTTTCCCATGAAAATAATAATAATAACATAATAAAATAAAAGGGGTTGCATTAATAATGGGGAACGGGTCGTTTCAAGGAAGGTACAGCCCCCTCTTCTTTTGCCTTAATAATAATAATTATATAATATTAATAATAAGTTAGGTTTAACTGACATATATGGTTGTGAGCGTGTAGGAGAAGTGATGAAGGGTTCCACAACGCAGGTCTCGGGCTGTATAGGACCTCTGGTCTCCGGCCACGGCTGTGGTCACCCACTCCCCGCCAGCAGACCTGGAAAGTAAGTCTTCAATTCGATTTCACGATCACAATACATATTTTTTTATAAACAGTCTGTGGGAAACACCCCCCATTTTTTTTGCCCCTTTTTTTTTGAGCACATAACAAATACGTTATATAGATTTAACCTAAATTAACCCAAACTATCAATTGTTTCCTCCACTTTTTGAAAGACATTGGTGACAAAACAAGAACGAGAAGCCCAAGAGAATCCTTAGGTAATTTTGAACCACTACAGCCATCAATAGTTTAGAGAAGGCGATTTTATAAGATGGCAAATGTAAATTTATGTATACATGCATTAGAGAAAAACGCTTTATCACACATTATATATTTATATATATATTATATATATATATATATATATATATATATATATTTATTTATATATATTTATATATTTATATATATATATATATTATATATCCTTTGATTTTTCAGTATCTGCTGAAGAGGACCCATTCAGTGGGTCGAAGTGTAGAGATAAGTTCATTTTTTGTGCTTGTCTCCATGTGGGTTATTTTTTTTTTCTTAAACCACATCGGCCTTTGCCCTAATCATCACGGCAGGGGTTATTAGTAAAGAAGAAACAGTTTTATCGCAACTAAGTCCATCATGTTCTTATCAGAAGCATGTTGGACACTACAGTGTCAAAAGCTCCAGTATCCTCACCCCTCTTTCTAAATCGTACTTCCACTCCAGGACTCTTGTCTGGCTACCGGTATTTCATGGTGTCCCTTCTTACAATGTTACTTTGTCACAACTCCAACATCATCGTCTAGGTCACATAAAAAACTATTTACCTCATAGCTACTAACACGTTCACGCATCTAGCTGTAAGTCCAAGCCCCTCGCACACAAAACCTCCTTTACACCTCCCTCCTAAACTTTTCCTAGGCCGACTCTACCCGGCATTCCTCCCACTACAGATTATACCCCTACATGTCATTCTATTTTGTTCCATCTTATCAAATGTCCAAACCACTTAACACCATCTTCAGCCCTATGGACATACTTATAGTAACCGCACCCCCTTTAATTTCCAACTACAGATTCTCTGCAGTATATTTAACCGCACATTGCCTCAGACACGTCATCCTCACTGCCTCCCAGCCTTCTCTTGTTAGCAACATTAACCAGTCATTCTTTACACCTACATAATCAGCCACTGGTACCACTATAATCTCATACACTCTCACCCTTTGCTTATAATGTTGAACTTTCACCTTACAATTTGTCGAGCATATTGAGCTGGCAGCTAACAAAATTTTACCATAAGACTTAATCTAGGATAACATCTCATATCGAGAATGTGTTGGTCTTTCATGCAGTGAGAATTTTTCTGAGGAGAATAAATTGATGGTGTGCTGGAGGAGAAGGTCTATGCAGACAATGATATTGTCCATGGAAGCAAAAGGGGAGAGTGTATGAGATTATAGTGGTTCCATTGGTTCTTATGTAGGTGTAGAAGCATGACCTGGTATAATATATTATTTATATATATATATTTAATTATATATTTTATATATATATTTTATATTTATATATATATATTTTATTTTATATATATATATTTAACCTATATATATATATATATATATATATATATATATATATTATATATATTATATGTAACCAATATATATTATTTATATATTTTATATATATCTATATATATATATATTTATAATATATATATATATATAAAATTTATATATATTTTATATATTAGATTTATATATATAAAAATTATATATATTATATAGATTTATATTATATATATTTATATATATATATATTTATTATATATATATTTATATTATTATATATATATATTATGTTATTACTAATATAAGTTATCTTTTATTATATATTATATTATATTTATATATATATATATATATATATTATATATATATATATATATATTTTATATATTTATATATATATATAAATATTTATATATTTTATACTTATAAATATATATTTATATATATATATATATATATATAAAATATTATTTATATATAAATTTATATATATATATATATATTATTATTTTAATATATATATATATATAAATTATATAAAAAAAAAAATTTATATATATATATATATATATAAATATATAATATAATTTATATATATATATATTATATATATTTGTTATTTTTATATATATATTTATTATATATATATATATATATTAGTAGTAGGTGGTACTTGGGTAGTCAGCAACCACCTCGGGAGGTTCTTACCCGTCCTGCCTAGGTGTGTGTAAAACGTATTTGCTGATATCTGTTGTACTGTTGGGTAGGATTGCGGTTTGTCTCTTTGGTAAGTATCTTTATTTTGCTAGTTATTGTCAGGGTGGGCGGGCGTAAGGCTTAGGTCTCTGTGGGCTTAAGCCCATACTATGAAAGGGTCAATGGGTGGGTGTTCTATCGCAGCTGTGGGGGCGGGGGTATGGTTGATGTTGAGAGGAGGGGGCTGTGTAGGGGCAGGTGTGTAGCCCATGGGTTTGGGGTTGGGTTGTTGTTGCGTGCCGCCGGTTGACTGGAGGGTTGTTTTTGGTCTATCTTTTTGGACGGTGAAGGGAAACATTGGGCTAGTATCCCTTTTCCTAATAAATGTTTACTACAAATTAAGAACTAAGATAGATGCAAAATTGTTAAAAATTTTAAAAAGTGGGGGTGAAGTCTGAATGTTGCGTGGATGTTGTCGCAGTTGTCTAAGGGGAAAGAGATGATTGTGGATGTTTATGATGAGAAAGAACAAACGTGAAGACTGGATTGTTGTCCTGAGCTTCTTGAAGTGTTTACAAAGCTGTAGCGGGGTGGGAGAAGTGAGTATGAGTTAGATGGGAGAGAAGTGAGTTTCGTATGGAAGAGGGAATAATAGCGGATAGGTATTAAGGGGTTTCAAATAGGAGATAGAAGCTAAAGATAGGAGTACTTTAATGTTGTAGGTTTAGCTATGGAGGAAATGAGGGTCTTTAATTGTTTTAATCATGGATTATGTGGTGTATAGATAAGATTGGATGTGATAATGTGGTTATATTAAGCGTTGTGTATGCAACTGGTGAAGAGAGAAGTGTAGAGGAGAGTGTGTGTGAGAGAGATTTGGTAATGTTGAGTGAAGGCATGGGGTGTTTTGAATCAATTGTGGAGAGTTTTGGTGGTTGGGGGATTTCTAATGTTAATGTGGGGGTCTATGGTTTAATAATTATTGTGAGGTGTTGGTTGAGGGATAAAGGTTAAAGTTAATAAATAATGTTATTAATTTGGTGTTGGAGGTGTTATTGGTTTTTTTGGGGGGCCAGGGGTTTTGGTTTTGGGGGACTGCCGGGTATTGAGCTATGTGTTAGAAGACTACGGAAATTTTCGAAAGAGGAGAAAGGGAAATAGGAAGAGGGGTGAAACACGAGAGAAGATTTGGTAATTTAAAGTAATACATAGTTTATGAAAATCAAGAAAAAAAGATAAGTGGATAAATAAATAAAACGGTTCATGATGTTAGCACGTAATGAATAGTAGCTTTTTTAGATTATTGCTATTGAGTGGATATAAAAGGTTGAAGGGTTTGGCTCCAGGATGTACATGTTTTCATGAGGGGCACACTGATATATCGGATCATATTTAGTTTTGTTAAGCATTACTGTTTAGAGTAAGAGGTAGATGGGGAAAAAAGAGGAAGGTGGCTACAAACCAAGAGGGAGGTGAAAAATGTATAATAATAATAACTAGGGGAGGAGGTAGTTCGGGTGAGATATTATATGCGAACTATTGGCTGAAAGGTGGGCTAGTGCATTGTGTAGAGTTGGGAGGGGGGGGGGGGGGGGGTTGGTTGGGGTTTGATGTTGAGTGTTATTTGTTGTGAATTTTTGTTGGGTTTTTTGGTTGGTGTTTTGATTCTTATTGATGTGGTTTTGGTATTGTGTTGAGATGTTTGAGATAGGTTGGGGAGGTGGGGGGTGGGTGGGGGGCGGGGTTTGTTGGGGGTTGGTGGGGTGGGGTGCATTTTAGTGGGGGGGGCGGGTTTTTGGTAGTGGGGTTGGAAGAGTTTTTTTAAAAATGACAAATGGAAGTTGCCTTGGTGAATTGTGGGGCTGAGTAGCGTGGGTATTTAGGTGGGTGGGGGCAGGCAGGATGGTTGAAATAGGATATGGGGGTGGAGGGATGGTGTAAGGGAGGTTGATTAACTTGTAGTTTTGGGGGGTGGATAGGGTGGAATGGGGGGGCATTGGTGTTAGAGGTGTGGGAGTGAGAGAGGTGTGATTGGTGGATATGTTGATAGTTAAAGGGTATTTTTATGATAATAGAGATAATGGTTTTGGTTGCTTTTGAGATGGGTATTTTCAATGGCTGGTAGTGTTTAATTATAAGTTGAGACAGGTCTATGCGAGAGTAGAATCGAAAAGGTCAAGGAGAGTGTGTTGTGAGCGGGGAGAGTGCCAAAAGGAGAGCAGATGAATAGAGTCGAGAGAGGCTAACTGTCAAGACAATTTAATGAAATAATAAGAAAATTTTTGGAGTTTTAAACAAAGTTAGAAGCCTAGGGAAAGGTATGGATTTGTCAGTTATTATCTAGAGAGTAGGGGAAGTTAGTTGTTGGGGTGGGAGGTGAGGGTGATGGAGGAAGGTAGGAATAATTTGGTGATGGCGTGAATATTTTGAGGAACTTTTATATAATGTTAAGGAAGAAAGGCGAGGCAAGTATGTACATAGTTAGTAATTTATGAACTGGCCTGGGAGGTATACCATTCTTTTTTAGGAGTGAAGAAGAGCAGAATGTAACGTATTGGGGAGGGTTGGTCGTGAGGCATTTAGAAAATTGAAAGGGGGTCCTTTTAATAATTTTGTTTTTAATGCGCTGGGGAACTGTTGGGATCTTGACAGTATTGTAAAAGCAGGGGGGGATTTGTGTTGGTGTGGTTGGTTCTTTTGTTTAATATATGTATGAAAGAGGGGGGTGCGGATGGAGTACCTTAGGGG